ACAATTTTCCATTAACACTCTGGTCTGACAGTGGATTAGATCACTAGATTCTGGAAGGATTGTCTAGCTTACTGAATTTTTTTTTTGAAAAACTAAAGTAACCAGTATCCATATGCCACTATTTTGAAGTCCAAATCCTGAAAATTATCTATGTATAAGACTTTCTTATTCAAAGTTTTGGCAAAGATCTGTAGCTTGGGTTGTGGGTGAGGTTGTTGACTTGCTCGCTGAGCTGGCTTGTTCTCGTTGAATCATTTCATCACCATGCTAGGTGACATAATCAGTGGAGTCTCCGAAGAAGTGATGATGTTCTACTCCGCTTGGAATTTATACTGTTTGGTTAGTTATGGTGAGTAGTGTCACTTCCGGTTTTGATGTCAGTTCCGATATGTTCTTGACATAGGGCAGTGTGGATAGTGTGTTAGGGTGTACCGTGTCCTCCTGTCGTTGTCTGTTAGGGCACAATACGCCCTTACACACTGGCCACACTGCCCTACGTCAAGAACATCTTGGAACTGACCGCAAGCCTTCTAAGACCACTAGGAGTCATGGTAGCCCACTAGCCCACAAGCCCACAACCACTCTGTGACAAACACTCATAAGGATTAAAGACCCCATTCCCACAACATGCAGAACTGACATAGTTTACAAACTACCATGCAACGACTGCCATAAACATTACATCAGACAGAGAGGAAGGAAAACGGCACAAAGTGCTCTCTTTTTAATATCGGTACGCTCAGACAATGAAGGCCATCAGTTCAACTGGGACAGGGTAACTGTAGTAGCCCAAGCCAAACATAGACAAGCACGGGAATTCCTAGAGGCATGGTTCTCCACCCATAATGCAATCAACAAACACATTCAATTGGATCCCTTATACAAACCCATACAGGTCAAAACCGAAAATGACACTACTCACCATAGCGGACCAAACAGTATAAATTCCAAGCGGAGTAGAACAACATCACTAAGATAGTGACGAAATGTCTGAAACAGAACAAGCCAGCTTGGCGAGCAAGTCAACTACCTCACTCTTATTGTCCCAAGATATTTAAAGGAATATTCAGAATATAAAGAATGACTAAAAGATTAACAAGGAGGTAAAAGAATACCTGAGAAAGTTAGCTACAAATGTTAAAACATATCATAGGAGTCCTCATAGATATTTTAAATACAGTGAAAATTGGGAATTAACAATGGAAAATAGAGATGGCCAACAAATTAAACATTTTGCATCAGTCTTCACTATTGTAGAAACAAGTAATATCCCAGAAATATCAAGAAATGGAAAGTAAGGAGGAACTAAATGAAATTACAATCGCCAGGCAAATATGCTGAGAAAACTTAGTGGAGTTGCAGACTGAATGTTGCTGGGTCCTGATAGACTTCTGAGTTTCATCTTCAGATCTCAAAGCAGTATCATTGCATTGGAGGGAACGTTTTGGAAAATCAAAATCATTCTGCGATAGTCCCATTCATTCAGAAGACAGCAGGTATAAATGCTCTGTTCAAAAAGGGAGTGAATCAGAAAAGTAGAAACTGTACAAAAACCAAAAAAACTGCAGATGTTGTAAATCGGGAACAAAAACAAAGTTACTGGAAAAGCTCAGCAGGTCTGGCAGCATCTGTGAAGGAAAAAACAAGAGTTAACTTTTCGGGTCCAGTGACCCTTCCACAGAGGTGTACTGAGGAAAGGTCACCAGACCCGAAACGTTAACTTTGTTTTTTCCTTCACAGATGCTGCCAGACCTGCTGAGCTTTTCCAGCAACTTTGCTTTGTTGTTTGTAGGTAGAAACTGTAGGCCAGTTAGCTGAACATCTGTTAATAGGGAAAACGTTGGCTTTTATTGAAGGTGTTAAGCAAGGCACTGGTAATGAAGTGGAGTCAATATGATTTTATAAAAGAGAAATCCTCTTTAATCAATTTATTGAAAATCTTTGTCTACAGCACACTACATCTACCAGTTACCCTTTGAAGAAATAGTGTGCTTAGATTTCCACAACCATTAAATAAGTTGCCACATCAAATGCTGTTATGGAAACTAAATGTTCATGGTGTATTTTGAAACATATTGGCATATTTACAAGACTGGCAGCTAATAGGGAATACAATAGGTATAAATGGTTCATTCTCTGCTTATCAAGACATAGTGGTAGGTTTTAGGGAGGTTGAGGGCTCTGCTTTTTAAAAACGTGAGAAATAGGTGAAAGAGTAAGCAGTTCAGCCCCTCTCCTTCTCCACTATTTAATACTGATTATGGCTGATCTCATTTTGGGCCTCAATCCAGTCTCCTGCTTGCTCCCTACATTTTACTGTCTGTATGAATGATTTGGATTAAGCAGCCAAAGGTATAGTGCTAAATTTACCACATGGTGCTGTTCTCCCTGATGCAGTGTGTTTAGAACATAGACATATAACAGGATGTTGTGCCGAACTTTTACCCTAATCCTAAGGTCTATCTAACCTCCATCCCTACCTTATACTATCGTCCATATGCCTATCTAATAGCTGCTTAAATGCCCCTAATGAGGCCGACTCCACTACCCTCTCCGGCAATGCATTCCACGCCCTGACCACTGAGTAATGAACCTACCTCTGACGTCTCCCCTATATCTACCACCGCTCACTTTAAAACTATGCCCCCTCATAATGGCTATCTCCACCCTATGAAAAAGTCTCTGGCTGTCTACTCTATCTATACCTCTGATCATTTTGTACACCTCTATCAAGTCACCTCTCATCCTTCGTCATCCTACAGAGAAAAGCCCTAGCACTCTCGACCTTTCCTCGTAAGACCTTCCCTCCATTCCAGGCAACATCCTGGTAAATCTCCTCTGCACCTTTTCCAACGCTTCCACATCTTTCCTGTAATGAGGCGACCAGAACTGGACACAATACTCCACATGTGGCCGAACCAGGCTTCTGTATAGCTGGAGCATAACTTCACGGCTCTTGAACTCAATCCCTCTATTAATGAAAGCTAATACACCATACGCCTTCTTAACAACGCTATCCACCTGGGTGGCAGCTTTCAGGGAACTGTGAACATGAACCCCAAGATCCCTGTGCTCCTCCACACTGCCAAGAATCTTTCTGTTAACCCTGTATTCTGCTTTCAATTTTGTCCTTCCAAAATGAATCGCCTCTCACTTTTCAGGGTTAAACTCCATCTGCCACTTCTCAGCCCAGCTCTGCATTCTATCAATGTCCCTTTGTAACCTAGAACAGCCCTCCACACTGTCTACGACGCGACCCACCTTTTGTATCGTCCGCGAACTTACTAATCCACCCTTCCACTCCTTCATCCAAGTCATTTACAAAAATCACAAATAGAAGAGGACCCAGAACAGATCCTTGTGGTACACCACTCGTAACTGAGCACCATGTTGAATATTTTCCTTCCACCACCACCCTTTGTCTTCTAAGGGTCAGCCAATTCTGAATCGAATCTGCCACATTTCCCCCTATTCCCATGCCTCCTTACCTTCTGCATGAGCCTACCATGGGGAAACTTATCAAGCGGCTTACTTAAATCCATGTATACCACATTCACTGCTCTACCTTCGTCCACGTGTTTTGTCACCTCTTCAAAGAATTCAATAAGGTTTGTGAGGCATGGTCTACCCCTCACAAATCCATGCTGACTATCACGAATCAAACTGTGCCTTTCCAAGTGATCATAAATCCTATCTCTCAGAGCCCTTTCCAATACTTTGCCCACCACTGAAGTAAGACTAACTGGTCTGTAATTTCCGGGGTTATCCTTATTCCCTTTTTTGAACACGGGAATGACATTTGCCTCCTTCCAATCTTCCGGCACTATACCCGTGGACAGTGAGGACGAAAGGATCATCGCCAAAGGCCCTGCGATCTCTTCCCTCACTTCCCATAGAATCCTTGCGTAAATCCCATCAGGCCCGGGGGACTTATGTATCTTCAACTTCCTCAAAATTCCTAGCACGTTTTCCTTACTAACGGCAATCTCCTGTAGCTTACCAGCCTGTTTCACTCTGTCCTCCTCTACAACTAGGTCCCTCTCAGTTGTGAATACCAAAGAAAAGTACTCATTAAGGACTTCTCCTCTGTGTTTATGAGGATCCTATCTGAAAATGTGGTATTTTGCAACAGGAGCTTTGTTATATCAAGAGAACTGTAATGTTAAATTACAAAATCCAGTAAGATATCTCATATGAGTGCTTTTTACATGCAAGCTTTCTGACTTTGGAGAGCTTGGAAGTGAATGAAGCATTTAGACTGGAAGATATATTGCCATGAATGTTTGCTTTATCTGGCTCTGCCTCTTCAGACAGTTGCCCTGGTTCACTAGGTTGTAGGGATGACTGGGCAACAAAGGTGACCCAAGAGACACATTATGACATAATGATGGGTATTAAAAATGGGTGAAGATGAAGCAGTGGTCAACTGTTTTAAGTACCAAGGTATTCCATTGTATTAATATAAATTATCCCTGCAAGTCTCCAAATACTTAATTTTCTTTGGTAGCCCATTTTCCCTTTAATGTTTTGAGCTCATAAAGGCCATGGTCATGAACTTTCAGTGGCTGAGAGGCCACATCACTTGTTCCAAGCTGCTTTTAAGTGCAAATCTCGTGCCAGCTCACTTCTAGGTGATTTTACCTGGTACTTTCTATCTTCCTCGTGAATTCTCCAAAGATAGAGACCATGTGTAGAGGAGTCGCTCAGCCTGACTCCCGCTGTAGCTGTTTGTAATTTTGAGTATCAACATTAGGGGCTGATTCTTAATTTCCCAAAACTGTGTACTGGAGTTCTGTTGGATGTCAAAACGTTTAAAAAAACTCAAGCAGGAATCAAAGCCACCTCAAACCTGCCTGTTCTCGTTCGATTGCCCAATGCTGCTAAGTCTGTTGCCAGGAAGCAGGTTGGTAATTTGAATATTATAATAATTAAGGCTGTATGTCTTCATTTTAACAATCATTAATATTTAACCACTGCCCTCAGGAAGTCTGGCAGGTTAAAGGAGGCAAGGGAGCTGACTCCATGAGTTAAGTGCTCATTTGACCATCATTGTGACCAGAATTACCTCCTGCCCAACCCAACCTACTCTGCTGCAAATTCTTTCACTTCCGCAGAATACCGACTTACTCTCTTACGCTTCAGCCCTGTGAAATCGGCTTCTTTTCCAAAAGTCTCCACGCTGTCTGTAGGCGGACACCAAGGAGTCCCAACAGTTCAATTTGACAAGGCATTCTGGAATCTCATTTTCAAATCCCTGACCTCACAACAGCCTTTCAGCAACGCCGGCTCATGTGCCATTAGACTTCGAAAAATTTCAATTGTCTGCTCATGGCAGATATAAAAGGATCCCATGGCATTATTCAAGGAAGAACAGGTGAGTTCTGACGATTTGCCCAATAAACCATTTCGGTTCTTAGCCTTTTATAAATTGAGGTATTGAGTTCAAAAATGGGAAGCTACATTGAACCTTTTGTGAAGCTTTGCTGAAGCCATAACTAGTGCATTTTATTCAAGTCACCACACCTTAAGATGTAAGGACATTGGAAGGGTGCAGAAGAATTTTACCAGGACGATTCTGTGAATGCAGTAAGATTGGTTGTTGTCTTTTGAGCAAGAGAAGTTGAAGAGAGGGATGTACAAGATTGATGGCTTTAGATGAGATAGACTAATAAGACTAGTTGTTAGCTGATAGTACAGGGACTGGGGGAGCATAGATTTAAAATATTAGATAGGAAATACAGGGTGGAAGTAAGGATTTTTTTTTCCACTCTACATAATAATCCAGTAATACTGTGGAAATTACTACCCAAAAAGATGGTGGAAGCAGAAACTCAAAGAAACTGGATGGGCATTCGAAGGAAACCAGCATGCAGCATTGTGGAGATGGAGGGGTGGAATAGGGCCGACTGGGATTCTCTCTAAACAGCCACTCAGACGTCATGAGTCAACTGGCATCTCTTTTGTGTTGTATAGACTCTGCTACTTGTACCTCAATTGGCATCTGGTGCTTTATCTCTTATGGTAGAACCTTGTTGTACACAAACAATTAAACTTCCACAAGTGCTTGAACTGTAGATTGCTTTAGGATGTATGTGAAAGGCACCTCTACGTTTCGTTTTATTTATGCGGATGAATTCAACAAGTTAGCTGATGTTACTTTCCAGCCTGTTCTAATCATGAAAATGTGCTGGTGCACAATTTCAATTTTGTCAGAGCATCCTACTGGCAATCATTGTAAATACAGGCATGTTTTTCTTGGCTATTTTTAGAAGCGAAGTGACCTAGCTTCGACAAAATTGTCAAGATGTGGAGGTGCTAGTGTTAGACTGGGGTGGACAACGTCAGAAGTCAACGACATACTGGTTATAGTCCAAAAGGTTTACTTGAAATCACAAGCTTTCTGAGCACTCCGAAAGGTGAAGTCTTGTGATTTCAATTCTAAATCTGTTGGACTATAATCTGGTGTTGTGTGATTTATGACCTTCGAGAGATTTGTGAAGCACCTGTTTAAAAAATGTACATTTGACCTCACAATATGCTAGGAAACTGGAGAAGGACCAAAGATGGGTAAGTGGAGTTGAGATACAGATCAGCATGAACAAATTAAATGATGGAACAGGTTTGAGGGACTGACTCCTTCTAATTCCTAAGATCTACATCTTCAGTCAGGTTCTTTTTAATTGGAGGTGTACTATTGTGCTGAGCATAGCACTGAAAACTACCAATGGAATTTTTACATTTTACGAGTTGTGTGGGGAGTTGTGTGAAATGCAAATATGAAGTCCATGTTTTTCGGAGTATTATTTTTCCCCATTGTTTTGAGGGGCCAAGTGTTTGTCACGCCATTGTTCACACTGTGATCCTGGTTGGTTCATGGTCGTGCAAGGGGTTATCTTCAATAATATCATGCAGCCACTCAATTTCATTTTTTTGTTTATATATTTTACATTCTGTCCTTGTTTTTGAGTCACAATTTGTCGTTCTTTATGCAACAGCTGATGAAATCCTGAACTCATGCCAACAGAACAACTGGCTGGCAAGTTCAGAAATGTTCTAACTTAGTACACTGAACATTACAGCAACAAAGTGATAATTTTTTCATGCTTCCGTTTGTCAGGGACTGTGCTATATCATCTGTAGGAAGGATATATTATTTTTGGAGGGAGTGCAATGTTTATGATATAGCATCTAATCTGGTGTTATGGATTATTAGCTCTGTCAGTCTCCTAAATTGGAAGATTTTGAATTCAGATCCCACTCTAAGATTGTGCGTGCATAATCTAACACTACAATGAAATACTAAGTTGTAGGTGCGGTCTTTGAGATACAGCATTCAGCAGAACCCTTACCTGCCCTCTCCGGTAAGCGCAAAGATCCCATGTTGTAAGTTCAAAGGAGCACAGAGGAGTACATCTCATGCCTTGGCAAATACTTTTTGCTCAACCAGCATCACTAAAACAAATTTTCTGGGAATTTTATCCCATGACTGTTTATGGAATGTTGTATGTGAATTGGTTACTGGGTTTCCATGCAGCAACAAAGACTGGCTTTTAAAATATTTCATTGGCATCAAAGCACATCAGGCACTGTATGAATGAATGTTTTATTTTCCTTTTTTAATACAGATTATCCCCATGTCATGTTCTGTTGGAATGCAAACTGATAGATTCTCTCTTCTGAAGCATCGTCCGCTTTATCAAAGATTCTGAATCTCATTTGACAGCGCAAAGGACATTTTAATACTAACTATAAATTAAGGGAGCCAGATCTACAAAATCTACAGACAGAAGACATGTGGCCAATCAGAAGTTAAGCGTTGGTTTGGAAGAGACCCCTTGAAAGCCCTGATGAAAAGCTTTTGAATATTCTCAACTCTTGTCATAATTTCAAATAATTTCAGAACGCAATGAGCACAGTAAGTACAAATATTCTCTCATTTAACAGTCACTATCCTAGCTTTACCACGTACTGCTCTACAGCTGAACCCACATTTGAGGTTTTTTGGTAATCGGTAAGTGTTCCGTTATGCTTTTCTATTCACCAAAATTCACCACTCAAAGATCGACCTGAGACCCATTTGATGGGATGTGAGTTTATATTATCATTTGTCCCTTCATGTATGTCAAATTGTGTACTGGCACCATAATAGTATAATGATGCAAAGATGCTTTCCTTAAGTGAGGAATCTGAAGATTAAAGGGAGCAATGTGAAAAATAAAAGAAAAGACGCTGACCCTTGAATGAAGCTCAGGAAGTGAGACTGAAGCAGGCAGTCTAGAAAAACCTTCAGGCTAATACAATGATGTTTGAAAATATTTTATTTTTTTTTAATATTTTTATTAAAAATATTTGAAAAAACTGTGACAAATGGACTTCTACCTAGGCAATTACATTGGAATGAAAACAGATAAAATGGCTACTTTCTAAGCAGTGGAAGGCCAGGAACAGTGGAGGTTCCAAGAACACTGATGTACTGGTTTTACAGATTATTAGCCTTTTGACTTGATTTATAATTTGCTACACCTGTCCATCTCTTTTTAGAGAATGCTAACCTTTATGTCTAGCAAGAGAATATAATGAATTAAAAGTTGTGTTTTCCTTGTGCATATTCCTGGTGAGAGCGCATCTGGAGTGCTGTGGAGTTCTGGGCCCTGCAGTCATAGTAGAATCCTTACAGTGCAAACAGCGGCCATTTGGCTCATCGCGTCTGCAATGACCCTCCAAAGAGCACTCATCCAGACCCAGACCCAGACCCAGCCCCAGCCCCCTATCCTATGCCTGTAACCCTGCATTTAGGTTCATCTATCTTGCCTACACATCCCTAAACAGTGCAGGTCAAGTTAGCATGGCCAATCCACCTAACCTAGACAGCGGGAGGAAACTGGAAATCCACGCAGGCACGAGGAGAACATGCAAACTCCACACAGACAGTCACCCAATGCTGGAATAGAACCCAGGTCCCTGGTGCTGTGAGGTAGCAGTGCTAACTACTGACCCACCATGCCGCACTGTAGGAAGGATATATTATTTTTGGAGGGAGTGCAATGTTTATTAAACGGATTGATGGACTTTAAGGGTTAAATTAGAACAAGAGTTCAACAAACAGGGTTGTATTCCCTGGAATTTAAGGTAAAAGAGTGATTGACTTTACATTTTTGAGATATGTAATAGACAGAAGATGGTTGGGGGTATTTCTGTCAGTTGAGTGTTGTGTGAGGGCCATGATCAAAAAATTAGTGACACATGTTAGAAGGAAATAAGGAATCATTTGTACAAAGGGTGGGAGAGGTTTGGAACACTTCCAACACCCAGACAGAAATTGATGAATTGTTGGCTTAAGATCTTTGTTAGCTGAAGGTATCAGGAATATGGGCAGGCAGGCATTTGGAGTTAGGTCACACGATGGAGGGCTGAATAGCCTACTTCTTGTCCTAATACTTAAAGGGCTTCTTGCTCCCCTGTCTAAACTTCAGTGTGAGTGAGTACAGACTTCACAAATTTTTCTTGTTGCAGAAAGGGTTTTGACCATCAAACGGACCAGTATAACCGGCCAGTGTTGGAGATTTTCTTTCATTCTTTGCTATTTTCTGGGATTTGGGTATTGTAGACTGGACTGGCATTTGTTCATTGTCCTTAAACTGAGTGGTTTGCTTAGCCTTTGCACAGAGCAAGGAAGAGTCAACCACATTCCTGTAGGTTTATATGTAATCCAGATAGTTTAGAAGGCAGATTTGCTTCTCTAAATTACTTTAGTGAATCAGGTTGACAGCTGTAAAGAGTCCATGATAATTTCACAGTCACCGTCACTGAGACTAGCTTTATATTCTAGTTTATCAACGGACAGATTCAAATCCTACCATGGTAGCTGGTGGAATTTAATCTGCCCATGAAACATTAATGTTGACCTTGAGATGATTGATTCAGTGACATAATCACTCTGCCCCTTTTTCCATCTGAGTGGTGGGGAGATTGTTGCAGAGATAGTAGAACACCAGTCCAGCTAAACTGCTCACCACTCTGAGTGGGAAGGAAACAACCTTCATAGCAGTTCTTCATGTAAGAAACTGTTTAAGTAGTTTGTAGTGAGTAAGCCTGGTATGTTGTATTGAACTTGGATCTGGAGATCTTAGATGGAAGACTATTCATTTTGACTGCTCTTAATCAACCTGTCTAGTCTGAAATTTAAACACATCTTGCTAGTTAACTGTTGGGCATAATTAACTAATGCATTCTTGGTGGAAACTCCTACCAAGCAGTGTTCATTTGCCAACCAATCAACCCCCTGCTTGTCATACAGTTAAAAAATGTTTTTACTCCTTACCATGGAATGCTTGCAAATTATCCTGATGAAAATATTTTTGCTTTCAGCACCACATCAGTTCTTTACTTGCAAAGAGATCTGATACTAAGTTAAACTAATAGCAATCCACCTCTCTAGCATACCTGCTTGTTGACTGAAAACATCAACCACCAACCTAGTAACTTACCCAAGTGAAGGTAAAATGTAATTAAAGTATGCATTGACCTTAGAGTGTGACTGGGCAATGGAATAAAACAAGGGAAGCATTGAATGGCAGACTGGTTAAGCAGGTATTCTGTGTGTCCCTTCACTGTAGTAAAGGCACAAACTCCTAACAATACTTGAAAATTTAATGGCAAAAGCGTGTGAGAATTTGAAACAATTCTAATCACAAAGAGGACTATACTGGGAACACGAATGTGACTAAAGAATGGCAAGACCCTGGACCTGATGGTTTGCATTCTATGATCTAGAAGGATATAATTGGAGAGAGAGAGGCATTTCTGTGATCTTCCAAAATTCCCTCTTCTGGAAAGGTCCTGGCAGATAATGAAATCACTAATGTCGTGCCATTATTTAAGGAAGAAGTAAGATTACTAGAGCTTTTGTTGTCTCGCTCCACTTTACAGAACTTGCATATGAAGGATTTCCTCCTCTCACTTGGAGTTGATTTTTCACCCTCTGATCTGATCCCTTTTCAAATCAACCAAAACCGTACTTGAGCAAGGTCCCTCCATAATCATGCCCTTACTGAACTGTGGTAATTGCATACTTCTATTTGAGTAAAGATACAGACAGTCCAATATACCAGAGAAACTGCTTTTTCTTGAATAATTGCAAGCAGCTTAAAGGAGATTTAAGCAACAGATTCATGCATTTGTCACAGTCAGCAAAATATAGATTGTTTTATATTTTCAGACACAAAGGAAGCGTCGGATGATGCCTCAGCAATCCAGAAGGGCACGCCGCCAACGCAGATCACTAGAACCAGCTGAACCGGAGGCTGAAATTGTAGAGACTGGTAAGGAGCAAGCTTTGTTTACACCAAGTCTTGTGGATGGAACTGAACCAAACCAATGGAAAATTCTCACTGTGGGTGTGTTTGGCAATAAAACATGACCATGGGTGGTCAGTTTGCTTCAACACTGAGTATACTAGGCCACCTTCAACCAGACCTCCTCTCTCCTCCTGGGTTTGTTCTTAACTGTGTGAAGCAGGGTTTGAAAGTCCAGTATTGCTTTGATTGGCAGTTATTACCCACAGAACAATCATATATTTTCTGTCTCCATCCAGGCACTATAAAAATCAGGTACAGAACCTTTGGAATTTAGAAGAATGAGAAGTGAGTTTACTGATAAATACAGGATTCTTATGAGACTAGACCAAATAAATAGATGTAGACAGGTCCTTTCCCTTTGTGGTAGCGTCTCTGATTAGAGGGCATCATTTCAGACCAGGGGCTTGTATGTTTAACACAGAAATGAAGAAGAATTTATCTTCGAGGGTAGTTACTCTATGGGTTGTTAAGTATATTGAAGGCTGAGATGGTCAGTGTTTTTTTATCAGCAAGGGTTATAGGGAAAAGGCTGGAAAGTGAAGCAGAGGGCTGTCAGTTTAGCCATGATCTCATTGAATGACAGAGTAGACTTGGGCTGAACGTCCTGTTTGTTTGTACATCTCTTAAGAAAATAAAGAACAAGAGAGCATAGATTTTAAACTGATGTGCAAAATAAGCAAGGTAGTTCTCACAGCAGGTAGTTAGGGATTGGAATGCATTGCCATCGAAGTGTAGAAGGTGGCAGTTCAATTGAGGCATTCAAGAGGGCATTGGACGGTTATTTGGTTTGAAATAGTGCACCAGGATTTGCAGAAAGGGCAGGAAATCGAAACTAGGTATGAAAACCACTGCAGGTACAATGGGCGAATAGTATCCTGTGCTGAAACAATCCTGTGATTCTGTGGACTTTATGATCTTTGTCTGTCTATTGTGTGTACTTCATTCTAGTGAGTTAATGATATTCATTTAGGAATTTTCAACTTGTACTTTCACAGTTTGAGTAAAGATGCAGAACGTTACTTTGTGCAGTTTTGGTGTCCTTACTCTGGGAAAGATGATATTGCCGCAGCAGGAGTTCAGTGAAGGTTCACCAGACTTTTGTGGGATGCCGGGGCTGTCCACTGCAGAGAGATTAGGTAAACTGGGTATTCTGTAAAGATTCGAAGAAGGAGAGTTGACCTTGTTGAAACTTAGCAACTATTTAAAGGGATAGACAGGATGGATGCAGATGAGATGTTTACCCTGGCTCGAGAGAGTTTAGAACCAGGGAACACAAGTTACAAATGAGGCAGATGTCATTTAGGATTGTGTGAAGAAGAAATCTTTTCTTCACATGGTCGTGAATCTTTGTATTTCTTTACCCAAACTCTGTCTGAGTACATTTATAGATTTTCATATTTCTGATTATCAATGATATAAAAAGTTATGAGGTTACTGTTGGCAAAAGGCATTGAGGCGTTCGATAAGTTGTCATCATATTAAAGGTCAGAGCAGTCTTAATGACTGTGAATGGCCCACACCAGTTTCTATATTCATTTGTATTGACATATTTGTATGTGAAAATTATGCTATGTCTTGCGAATGGTTAGAACATAAATATGTGCAGGAAATGGAAAAGCTTGTATTCTTAAAGTGGGTGAAAGAGACATTTTTCACCTTCATTTGAGCATCCTTTAGCAAATTGAAATTGAAAATTTTGATTGAATATTTGTTCTCTTGTTCCTGTTCAGTGTAGAAGGGACGCTAATGGATGGTTGTTTTAACATGTAAAGTTTAGAGTGTAAGTTCTGCACTACCATTTGCAATATTTGCCATTTTGTCTGATGTCAGCCTTCATGACATAGCTGTTGCCTGTTTAACATGTTACAGTTATGGTTATTGCAAGGCAGTTGGGATGTCTGTTCCACTAAAATACCTCCAACTGTCAAGATTAATATCTGCATTCAAAAAAAAGTCTAAGGCAGGGGCCAGCAAGGATAAGTTATACATAGACACCTTTTAATGGTCTAGGCCAGTGGTGTTACTCCACACTGGTCTGGTCTCTGCTTGTTCAGCTCTCACTATTAGCATATGTTATTCCTTTCTCCCTGTAACTTCTACTTAACGACATCTTGTACTATTCACTTCAATTACTCTGCGGTCATCAGTTCCCCAGTCTGACCACTTATTACATTAACAATTCCCAACTTGTACTGTGCATTTAATATCCTGCAGTATTCCAAACCACTTGACAGGAGAAAGAAAGTTAAATGTGACACCAACCACATGAGGTTATATTAGGTCAGATGACTGAAATCTTGTCGAAAGAGGAGTAGGTTCCAAGGAGAATCTTACAGAAGCAAATTGAGGTAGACAGTGTAAAGGGAGAATTCCATAATTTAAAAACCCAGGCACCTAAAGGCATGGTCACCAATGGTGGAGCGATTAAAATTAGGGAATCAGAATTTGAGAGGTTTAGAAATCTGAGACATACGGACATGAAGGAAATTAGGCAATAGTGTGTCCATGAAGGAATGTGCAAATAAGCATGGGAATCTTTGAAATCAAAAAAATTGCTTGACCAGAAGTTAGACAAGAAGGCAAGTGCAGTGGCATTTTGAGGGGAGAGATTAAATCACCATCTAAGGGAATGGGTTGAAGTGGGGACTGAAACCAATGCTACAGTATTTATTTGGAGGATGTGCAGTCCTAGATATTGGATCATTGAAGGAACCCAGAGAGGTGATGATGCAATAGAACTGGATATTGTCTGTGTACCTGTGGAGGGTCCAGACCCGAAACGTCAGCTTTCCTGCTCCTCTGATGCCGCTTGGCCTGCTGTGTTCATCCAGCTCTACACCTTGTTATCTCAGATTCTCCAGCATCGGCAGTTCCCACTATCTCTGACAGTGGTGAGGTTGCTTGGCATGTCTCTTCTCAGTGGTCTCTACCTCGTATCACCCTACTTCCTCGTATCCCCCTCTGGACAATGATTCCACCATTGAACATTAAACTGTTATTTCTAGAACTGTCACTAACCTTCTCTTCTACAGTTTCTCACTTTACAGGCCCCAACCCCTCATAGCGCACTTCTTAGCTTCTTCCCAAAATCCATAAATAGAACTGCCTTAGCAGATACATCATTTCAGTCTGTCCCTGCCCCATTGAGCTTTTTGTTTTTGCTGTCTTGAATCTAATTTTTCTGCCCTGTTGCAATCTTTTCCCACTTGCATTCATGATTTTTCAGTCGCTTTACATCAGTTCCCAAGCGCCATTTTCCTGGCCCCGTTACCACCTCATCATCATGGGTGTACAACCCACCTGCATATCCATCCTCCTTCAAGATGGTCTGAGGACTGTCTGCTGCTTCCTTGAAAAGAGGCCAGAACAGCCTCCATCTGCACCAACCTCCTTCGCTTGGATGAGCTCATTCTCACTGTGAACAATTACTCTTATAGCTCGTCTCATTTCCTCCAAGTGCAAGGCATGGCTATAGCTACCCAAATGGGTCTGAATTAAGCTTGTCGGTTTGTGGGATATGTAGAACCTTCCCTTGTCCTACATGGGTTTTGTGAGGAGTCTAGGGGCTTTGCACAAGTCTCTTTCTCCAGTACGTTGATAACGTTAGAGTTGCTTCCTGCTCTTGTCTGGAATCAGAAAAATTAATCAATTTTGCTTCCGACTACAATCCTCCTGTCACCTTCACCTGATCTATTTCTGATTCTTCCTCTAACTACTGTTTCCATTCCTGGTGATAAGCTTTCCACTAATAACCAAGACAAACCCACCAACAATCTGACAATTACTGTGACTGTGTTTCTTTATACCTTGCTTAATGTAAGAACTCCATTCTGTGATCCCACATTCTCCATCACTGTTGCACCAATCCAACTGATGCCAACCACCACAGGGATGCTTCCAAGATGTCTCTTATTTTTTTTCCGCAACTGAGTTTATTTTTCCACAGTGTAGTTGGCAGACCATGTCTAATTCATTTACACATTCTACCCTCATCCCATCCCCGTCCGGCCCAGAGTAACAATTGGGTTACCCTTGTCCTACTTGCCACCGCATCAGCCTCTGCATTCAAAGAATCATCCTCCCCCATTTACGTCACTTCCAGCCAGATGTCACAACCTTACACATCCTCCCCTCCCCTCCTTTATCAGTATTCTGCAGGAGCTGTTCTCTCCATGACACCTTGGTCCATTCTTCAGTCATTCCAAACACCTCTTCATCTTCCTGTGTAATCACAGAATGTGTGTAACCCTTGTCCTTTTACTTCATTCCCTCCTAAGTGTCCGAGGCCCAGTACATGTACTCATTTCGTTCAAGCTAATTTATTCACTGTTCACAGTACAATCTCCTCTACATTGATGAGACCCAACCCAGTCTGGGTGTTATCTGTTTGCTTTATTGAACACCTCTGCTCTGTTTGTAAGAATGACCCTGATCTTCTAGTTGCTTGCCATTTCATCACACTGTCTTACTGTCTTGCTATTTTGCTTATATTTCTGCTCCAGGCATGCTGCAAAGTTCCAGCAAAACCCAATGCAAGCTGAAGAAACAGCATCTCATTTTCCAAGAAGGCATTTCACAGCCTTTGATGTTCATCGTTGAGTTGAACAATATCAGACCATGAGTACAGTCCATCATTTTTGATTATATTCCCTTTCTCCCCCAGTCCCCACCAGTGTTGTTTTACAATGGGTCTGCTCACAGCAGAGATGACCTATTTTCTGCTATGTGTACTTATAATTAGCACCTGTTTTTCATCTATGTCACTCCTCAACTACCATTTGTAGTTCTCTTGCCTTTTGATCTGTCTGTTCTACTTGCTCCTCCTCCTCCTCCCACTTTGTCAATAACTTAGAAGCCAACATTTTCCAGCCCCCTTCAGTTCCAAAGAGTTGGACTTGGAAAGTTAACTGTTTCGTATCTTGCAGGTGCTGCCATGCCTCTTGAATTTCTCCATCACTTCCCAT